GCAACCAAGGTACATGCCCTTGACCGGAATCGAACCCGGCACCCTTCAGTCCGCAGGCCGACGCTCTATCCACCGAGCCAAACCGGTCAGGGCTATTAATATCACGGAGACTCCTGTGGAGCAGCCAGTGACTGGCCGCGGACCAGCTCCAGTGGCCAGTGGCAGTGCTCTCCTCCTTGTGCCCAACGGGCCAGCCTGCTCCTTTGCTGTAACGTTGGGGTGCAGCGCTGTCAGACTTGCCCAGGGTCAGAGCCGAGGCTCAGGCATTGGTGTGGGAGATGAAAGGGCTGGATTACTTCCACCAGCGCTCAGTGATAAAACCGGAGGCCTTGATTTTGTCAGTGGTGACCACACTGAAATCTTTACTCTTGCAGAATCTGGTACTATTATAATTTTATTGATTTCTCTAATGTCCGGGTTCTCTCTCAGTCACGCGTGGGGGTCTGTTTCCCTTTTCTGTAATCTGTTCCACCAGGGTTTATTTTGCAGGAACGTGTGATGGGGGCATGCCTGAGATGGACAGACAGGCCAAGTCTCTTAATTATTATTTTATTTATCTATCTATTTATTTTTAAAAAATAATATTTTTATTGATTTCAGAGAGGAAGAGAGAGATAGAAACATCAATGATGAGAGGGAATCATTGATTGGCTGCTTCCTGCATGCCCCCTACTGGATATTGAGCCCACAACTGGGCATGTGCCTTGACTAGGAATCGAACCTTGACATGGGCTGACACTCAACCACTGAGCCACATTGGCCAGGGCAGGCCAAGTCTTTAGGGCTGTGCTACTCAGCTGTGAACAGCTTAAGAAGCTCTTGGTTATGGAAATAAGTCCTAAAGCCACAGAAGGATGTAGCTTCTTAAGAAAGTAAAAATGTACTTAGCATGTTTATGAGAAAGGAGAGTCATTACCCCGTTAGAGCCCAGCAGTAAAACTCACATTCACCTAGAACACTTCCTACAGCGTGGCCAGTGGCTTTAGCCCATAGCTTCCTGCTGCTCCATCACAGGCTGCTCTGTGTGGGTCGCCACCCAGAAGAGGAGCAGGTGGGAGCTCAGTGCCCAGGGAATGTGTTATGGCTTCCTACACACCCCCTGACTATCTCCTGGCCGCCACGTCCCCGCCACGTTCCTGCAGCAGGAGGCCCTGTGGAACTCGCTGATGGACGTTTTGCAATGTGACTCGCCAGGGGCCACAGGCCTTGTGTAACTCAGACTCCTTAGCTTCCCACCACTTCCTGCAGCACTGGGGCTGAGGGATTCAAGTAGAGATAGTGGGTGATACTCAGGCTTGCTCAGGGGAAAGCTCCTGTGTGAGCTGGGAGGTGCGCGTGACCTGGGGTGCCACAAGCCTGGAGTCTCCCTCCTGTCATTTGAAAAAGGCCCTGCTTAATGAGCAGAAAACATAGTCCTGTTGTCTGTCGTGCACATTTTCATATCTTACAACTTAATCTAACATTGTCTCAAGGAATCCTCTTTCTAGAACTTTATTTAAACACATGCACGTAGTTTTTGGCCACATGTGGCCTTCATGTCTTGTTAGATCCTGTGGTAGCAGGTGCTAAGGTTTTAGAGAAATGAATAGGAAGTTTGCAGAAGACTAAATATATGTACAGGGTGTTCCCCACAAATGCAGACACCCTTTAACATCTGACCGCTCCATTTTGAAAGTGAACTGTACTTTAATAAACACTGCCTTTAGAATCATGCAGAGTGTGTGTACACATGGTTTTGGGGACACCCTGTATATGTGTATTTATTATACTTTTCCTCCTGAGAATTGGGAAAAGGACTCCCCCATTGTTTGGATTTCATGAGGAGGCAGCTTGGACCTGGTCGTAGACCGTGGCTGTCCTGAGGGATGGTAGTTGGAAACCTCGGCACCGAATGCAGGGGAGATGCAGGGAGCCCAGGGGGCCCGCCACAGGCCTGAGGACCTCAGCATCCCCCTGGCGCAGCTGGTTGGTGACGTCGGTAATGAGTTTCACTAAGTGAGTTCCAGCTCAGCATCACTAGATACAGATGTCTGCCACCTTCGGAGGGACTTTGCAAGGTGATCTTGTACCGAATGAACATGTTATATTCTTGTTCGGATGAAGCTCGATGCTTTATTTTCCCCCCAGGAAAAAAATGTAGCTTTTCAACATTGTGAATTCTGTTAAAGCGTTTTA